TGGCTAAGATGCTTGAAATCACATTTATACAGCTACGTGGTTAAGTTGCTGTCACTGCACCTTTTCTAGATAAGCTAGTATTCCAAGTTTCATGTTGATAATAGATAATGGGCTACATTAAAAATAATTTACAGCAACAACAAGGACTACACAGCAATCATAATAGCTGGACTATTTCTTCATTGCAGACAAGCTAAACATTTACTTAAACATGTAGCCATAGAAAAACAGACCTCAAAATTTACATTTTCCATTTCTTTAATAGTTATAATTATGTCAATAATACTACATGGCTATATGTAAATACTTGTTATAATGAAGAGTGAAAAACTGTCATTACAGTAATAATTCTGAAATGACAAAAATGTTATCAACATCCAAACACACTCCTAGATGTAATTGATGTGGCAAAGATAATTGTTATCAATAGAACAGACCATAACTTGACATCTTTTATTATCACCAAAGCATTTTTTTCAATACAATATGGGGTACACAACAAAAATGTGTAAGTGGTGTACATTATTTATGAGAAAAAAGTTGCTTTTCTGTAATAATTTCTGTTCTACAGTCTTCAAAAAACCCATCTTTCACTAAAGTGTCTTATAAAAAGCTTAAAAATGTACATGACCAATAAAATTTCCTTTAATAAAAGTTTCCCTTTTTTATTTGAAACGAACACTGATGTGTTATTATATATAAATTAACTAATCGAAACGACAATTAAACATTAAATATTTTAAACAAAATTAAGTTAAATTCACACTTTAATATATGTATAATTGCTAAAAAATGTTCTTTCATTTTTATTCAACTATATTCATTTTTAATGAATTGAAAATTAATATCACATGATATGAATAAAATAAATTGTGGTTTAAGAAGGACAAAATTCCATCCTAAAATCTTACCAATATATAAAAACATAATACACTGGTACGCTAAAAATTAAAGGAATGTGAAGACCCTTTATGTTTACTGTCATTAGAAGTTTTTTTTTAAAAAGTGATAACTGATACAGAACAGTTGTAACAAATAAAGTTTACTATTTTAACATATTCAGGACATCCCTAAAATAAGGTGTCATACTAAATGTAAACAAGAGCTGTCACAGGAGACAGCGAAGCTCTACTAATAAAATACTGGACGCAGTAAGGAACACAAAACTATGAAAGAAAAATCAATTATGTATAATTATGTTTTAAGTTATAATAAAAAAATAACATTGTTAACATAAATTCCAAGATCAAGGGGAATAATTCTAGAAATAGTCTCGCTAGAGTTATGAACCTTGTCACACAACGTGTGTAATGATAAAAAATATATATTTGAAGTTTGAAGTAGATACCTTAAAAAGTAAAGAAGTTATAATATTTTGAAAAGAAAATCCTAAGTTCAAAGAGAGATAAATCTGTAAATATTGCTTCAAGAGTTATGAACATGGTCACATAAAATGTAAATGATGAAAAAAAATAAGTATTTGAAGTTTGAGGTAGATACCTTTAAAACTAAAAAAGTCATGGTAAAAAATAACATTTTTCTAGTAAAAAAAAAAATCTAAGTTTATGGGGAGATAATTCTTGCTAGAGTTATGAACCTTGTCACATAAGATGTGGATGATGATAAGGTACATATATTTGAAGTATGAAGTTGATCCCTTAAGAAATAAAGAAGTAACAGTAAAAAATAGTATTTTTACAGGAAAATTCTAAGTTCAAGGGGAGATAAACCTGTAAATATTGGTGCTAGAGTTATGAACCTTGTCACATAAGATGTGGTTGATGATAAGGAACATATATTTGAAGTATGAAGTTGATTCCTTAAGAAATAAAGAAGTAACCATAAAAAATAGTATTTTTTAAGGAAAATTCTAAGTTCAAGGGGAGATAAATCTGAAAATATTAGTGCTAGAGTTATGAACCTTGTCAAATAAGATGTGGTTGATGATAAGGAACATATATTTGAAGTTTTAAGTTGATACCTTAAGAAATGACAAAGTTATAGTGAAAAATATTTTACTGCACCAAAACTTTAATCTGAAAGCTGGACGCCGACGCCACCGCCGACGTCGGGGCGAGTAGGATAGCTCTCCATATACTTTGTATAGTCGAGCTAAAAATAACTACAGATTTGTCAGTTAAAATGATCTTAATATAAAAATTTGAGAAAATGCCAAATATTTTCATGAATATTTGATTCATAATACAAATATCTTACAACACAACACCTAGAACCCTAAACAACCCACAATTAAAATAAAAAGAAGAAAAAAATGGGAAATACTAATAATATAACCTTTGTAAAACACTTGTTATTAACTCCTTACAATAATTTATCAACAATATCAGTTAACACTAAACTGTTCACACACAACACTAAAGAACATTACATTCAGTGAAATTAAAGTGTATCCCCTATTGAATAGCGAGACATTTGTCAAATAATTTATATATATATGACATACATCGGTATCCAGTAAATCTGGTCGCATATACATGTAGTGATGAAGATTTAATGTGAAAACTATTGGCTATTACAACTTATTGAATTGTACAATAACATACATGTATAAGAGTCAGTGCAATAATTTTTAAGTGGGTGGGGGGATTTAAACACAATATTCATAAACTAGAACTATCACTAAATGTGATTAATACCCCCACAAGTCTGCTTTGGAAATGAGGATGTTACTAGTAACAGAATACCTTGTAATAGAATTGAAACAATTAAAGATAGTTGTGGTTCATGTATGTTGCATTTCCTTTCAATGTGGTTGGCCATTGATGAAGTTTAATTGAATTACTCTGTAATAAGTCCAGAAAAACAAAGAAAAAGAACAAAGGGCAATAACTCTATAAATACTGAAGATAGAGTTATAGTTCTTGTGCACTGCACTTCCTCTTATTGTGCTTGACCATTGTATGAAGTTGTTTTGAATTCCAACCAGTACGTTTTAAGTTATGCTCTGGACAAGGAAAAGTATCAAAGGGCAGTAACTCTGTATTTTGTCAAAATGGAGATATGGCTCTTGTGCACTGCACTTCCTTTTAATGTCCTTGACAACTGTATGAAGTTGTACTGAATTCCAAACAGTAGTTTTCAAGTTATGCTCTGGACAAGGAAAAGTAACAAAGGGCAGTAACTCTGTAATTAGTCAAGATGGAGTTATGGTTCTTATGCACTGCACTTCCTCTCAATGTGCTTGACCATTGTATGAAGTTATAATGAATTCCAACAATAAGTCAACAAGTTATGGTCCGGACAAAAGAAAGCAATGGAAAAGTAACAAAGGGCAATAACTCTGTAATTAGTCAAGATGGAGTTATGGTTCTTGTGCACTGCACTTCCCCTTATTGTGCTTGGCCATTGTATGAAGTTGTTTTGAATTCCAACCAGTAGTTTTAAAGTCATGCTCTGGACAAGGAAAAGAAACAAAGGGCAGTAACTCTGTAATAAGTCAAAATGGAGTTATGGTTCTTGTGCACTGCACTTCCTCTCAATGTGCTGGACCATTGTATGAAGTTATAATGAATTGCAACAATTAGTCTTCAAGTTATGGTCCGGACAAAAGAAAGCAATGGAAAAGTAATAAAGGGCAATAACTCTGTAATTACTTTAGATAGAGTTATGGTTCTTATGCACTGCACTTCCTCTCAATGTGCTTGACCATTGTATGTAGTTATATTGAATTCCAACCATTAGTCTTCAAGTTATGGTCCGGACAAAAAAAAAAGAAGGCAATGGAAAAGCAACAAAGGGCAATAACTCTGTAATTACTTTAGATAGAGTTATGGTTCTTGTGCACTGCACATCCCCTTATTGTGTTTGACAATTGTATGAAGTTGTTTTGAATTCCAACCAGTAGTTTTCAAGTTATGCCACGGACAAGGAAAAGTAACAAAGGGCAATAACTCTGTAATTAGTCAAGATAGAGTTATGTTTCTTACGCACTGCACTTCCTCTCAATGTGCTTGACCATTGTATGTAGTTATATTGAATTCCAACCATTAGTCTTCAAGTTATGCTCCGGACAAGGAAAATTCAACGGATAAAAAAAAAAGCAATGGAAAAGCAACAAAGGGCAATAACTCTGTAATTACTTTAGATAGAGTTATGGTTCTTGTGCACTGCACTTCCCCTTATTGTGTTTGACAATTGTATGAAGTTGTTTTGAATTCCAACCAGTAGTTTTCAAGTTATGCCCCGGACAAGGAAAAGTAACAAAGGGTAATAACTCTGTAATTAGTCAAGATAGAGTTATGGTTCTTGTGCACTGCACTTCCTCTCAATGTGCTTGACCATTGTATGTAGTTATATTGAATTCCAACCATTAGTTTTCAAGTTATGCTCCGGACAAGGAAAATGCAACGGACGTCTGGACCGACCGACCGCCCGATCGACCGACCACCGGGTGACTCCTATATACCCCCCCCCCCCAACTTCGTTTTTGGGGGTATAATAAGTCAATCAAACCCTTACCATTTCATAATTTGTTCATATGACAAGAAATTCATATGAATAATTGAGCCGCGTCATGACAAAACCAACATAATGGGTTTGCGACCAGCATGGATCCAGACCAGCCTGCGCATCCGCGCAGTCTGATCAGGATCCATGCTGTTCGCTATCAGTTTCTCTACCTGTCATAGATTATGTAAGCGAACAGCATGGATCCTGATCAGACTGCGCGGATGCGCAGGCTGGTCTGGATCCATGCTGGTCGCAAACCCATTATGTTGGTTTTGTCGTGACGCGGCTCATATATTTTACTACACATTATGATTTTGATCTTAGTAAATATGCACAGTTTGATTATTGCTTTATTTATATGAAGTATTAGGTGATGAAATACAATACACTTTAGCTGAAATTTGTCGTTTATCATTACATTAACCTATGTTTTAAATATATCAAATACAAAGATCACGATCCTTATTTCTGAAGTGTATCATGCAAATTTTATCATTCTTATGTACATTATATGTACATTATATTTATATCAGAATTCATATATACAAAGTTCATTTATGAGTCTCATATCTACTGATTTTTGTATATAGATTTTTTTTTCATGTCAAGTCTCAAATCTGACATTTAAAAATATTGATAGTCTCTTTTTTAAATAAATAAAATAAACAACTTTTGAGTACATACAGAGAAAATATATTACAATTTAAAATCTACCTGGGAGAAAAAGTCCCAGACTCTACACACTAAAGGTAAACACAAAAGACAGTTTTAAGAAAAGATCATCTGTATACGATTATGTGACCAGTAAAAAGAAATACAGCTGCCCAAACATAGTTTGTGTATTTTCTTATTCAAATTAAAACAAATTCAATTCAGTATTTCTAGATTTCAATAAATTTCTGTGATAAAAGTATTTTACCTTATAAAAGGAAAAAGCATAGTATATCTTTAACCATCTTTCATATAAAAAATCTGCCTATTTAAGTTAATTCATTTGTGTCGCCAATAAAACAGATAAAAGTCTATTAAAATCATAGGACTTCAAAAATATCAACAAAAAAAAATGATTTATCCAAACTACATGTAATATTCATTCATAATTATAACAGACATTAACTTGATTATGTCCAAAACGCTGTAAAATACCAACGTTTACTCGCAGTAAACATCTGTTATACAATGTCATACTCTTTACAAGTTGACACTATTAAAACCTCTGTATGCTGTATATTGTACAATATTGCACACCCTTAAAGTTTCTGCCATTTTTGACATTGTAGAAATCTTCATACATCCGCTGCTGAACAACGCTGAACTTGAGAATGCTTATTTATAAGTGACAGTCAATCTTTGACACAATACAATCTTTATCCTTCCACACTTAGCTCAAAATTTTCAATGTCCTCCAATTCAGAGTTGACTTTGTCTGCCCACTCATCAATCTTTGAAGTCTGAAAAACATTTATAAAAATTAATATTTTAATATTACAGCCTTATGGGCATTACTGTGCTAATAATATATTATAATGACCAATTAACATCAAAACATTATAAAGTTAACATCTATATCCAGCAATTCATGTCCCAAGTTGTGACTGTGAGGACAAATTATGTCACCATAAAAACTCAAAAGTCATGTACTGTCTGAAGTTTGTTTCAGCCAATACCAGGGATTTTTTCCCTATATAAGTGGTACCTAATAACGGACCCATTCACAATCACAAACGGACCTTCACAATTTTCAGACTGAGTCCAACGGACCAGTTCACAATTCTGATGAAATTCCACAATTCCCATTAATTAAGCCTTTAAAAACGTATTATTTCCTCTCTTTGCATAATGATGCTAAAATATTGCCTGTTGTGCTTTGTTTATCTTAAAATGCATTTAGCCGACCATGCTTTCCGGTGCAATCTCCCTTTAAATTTTTGTACTGTATAAATATATGTTATGAAATTATATATTCTTACTGCTCAAAAAGATATTCACAATCTTAAGTGAAAAATTCACAATTTGTTAATAAACGATGCTTTTCTTTCACAATCTTTTTATGGTACCGGACCCATTCACAATTCAGAGAAAAAAATCGCTGAATACAGTCTTCTTATATAATCAGCTCTTGATATAATATACTTCAATTGTTCATTTTGTAATAAGTTGGGCTACCGGACTTTAAAATTTTGGCTACAAAAAAAGCAAATTTCTACCAGGAGTGAAGAAAACCCTGGACAAAAGAGAAGCTACAATATATTTCACTCACTGGTCATATTGCAAAATGATCAAACATGCCATACAAGTCAACTTTTTTGGGTACACTTTTGGATTCCCACAAATAAATACCTATTATAACTGAAGACACAACAATTCAGGTTTTGCATAAACAAATTATTACAAAGAAGTAAATACAAAAACTTACTGATAACCTGTCATAACCAGTTTCAAACTTCTTCTTGGATCTCTTATAGGACTTGTCAACTGATTTATTAAGGTTGATATTTTCACCTGAAAAAACACCAATGTTGTTATAAAAAACTGAAGTTTGAAAAAATAAAACAAAGAATGCAAATAAATCCACTGTTAAACCATCTCCACAAATAGTTACATAAAATTGCAAAAAATCTGCAAAATTCATAAGAAATAATATGCAATGAAAATAAAAATATATTTTAAATTTGAAATTATCTTTTAAATAAAATAAACTTTTAACTTATTTTTAACATTATATTTTGGTTTGATTGACATTCATGTAAATAAGATTTCCTTTTTAGCTGAGATGCATTTAAGTTACAATATTTCAACTGAAGTATATGCCTTGAGTAGTGGAGTTCTAAACTTATTTATAATACTGTCTATATCAAACAATGTAAAAATTCAACAAAAAATACCTGAATCATCTTCATCTAAAGTAAAGGCTGGAGAGCTTTCTCTTTTTCTTCTGCTTACTTTTTTAGGACTGGGTGAAGGGATTATTTCCATGGAACCATAGTCAGATGTTGGCGTATCTAATCGTTGAACAGGCGACAGCTTTGCAATGTTCTCTTTTAGTCCCGTGAAATTTTTCTTCGGTTTAAACTCGTTAGGTGTTGATGTATTTTTTGCTGCATGTTTAGAGACCTTTTTCGTTGCCAATTTTTTACTTTTACCAGAAACCTCAGCTGGGGTTGAAGTTTTAGCCGCATTAAATCTAGGCATGGTCTGTCTGGGTGACACAAAGATTGCACTATCGTTAGAAGAACTGCTCTCTTCTGCCTCCATATATGAAACACTTCCAGAAAACTTACTTTCAGTGCCATTAGTGGAGGATCTAAGTTTCTTTCTTTCAACAGAGTCATTTTCAACTGTTTTAGAGTCACTAGATCTTTTCGTTCGCGTTGGCGTTTTTGATTTTCTATCGCGAATAATTGGTGAGATATCATCCAAATTTGGTTGAGGAATGGGCTTCAATGCCCTGAATCGACTATTTCCCTGCTTTGGTTCTTTCTGCTGCTCAACATTTGCATTTTGTATTGAGATAATAACTTTTGAAGATCTTCCTTTAGGTGTCACCGTTGCTTTGGAAACAGCATCTGCTGTTTTCGTACTGCCAGCTTTCAATTTAATTTTGTCACTGCTCACCTGCTTTGTTTTTGTACTTTTCCCTTTAGCAGTTGTTTTCTTTACCTTTTTTTTCTCGTCGGATTTAGACACAACTTGCTTCTTACTGTTGTTTTTACTGCTGTCGCTAAGAGGCGATTCTCCCATAAAATCGTACAATGATGACGGTGTGGTGGCTGCTACCTGTGGAGAGGATCTTGTTATACGGACAGACTCCATTTCAGCTGCTAATTTAGGACTCTGAAATACAATAACATGCATTGCAAAATAACTGTGAAAAATTATTATACTTTAGAGATTTGGTGAGATAAAGTTAACCTTTATTTTTTTGTGTTAGATCAGAGACAGCTTTGTGTTAGATCAGAGTTAGCTGCTTTAATTGAAAGTTTGAAAATTATGTGTTTTTATGAATAAAGATATGTTAATGTTTTTGTTTTAAACCTTCAATAACGATTTTAAAGATATGTATTAAGTTTCAAGTGAATTCCAATGTTTATGATCACTTTATTTTGAAATAAATCTTTCTTAGGCCATTTTTTTTTTATATTTTGGTTTACTGATTTTTTCCAAAAAAAGGTTGGGTCGGCGGCGGGAAAAAAAAAAAAAAAAAAAAAAAAGGTTTTCATAACTTTAAATGTGGTGCATACATATACATAGTACTTACCAGAGCAATGAAATTAAATACATAGATCGCCGATTGTCTATTCCAAAGATTGTCTAAATACACAAAAAAAAACTTTGCTCACATTGCCATTGTTTAAAAAACACACATGAAATCTACACACGATGACTAATGACAAGTGGCAAGCCAGCCCTTCAAAAGAATCTGTCATTCTTTGATGTTTACACACTGCTGTGTAATCTGAATCATCAAAGGTGCCGAAACTCAGCTGACTTGCACTCAGTTGAAAAAAACTGTCAAGAAAAGATTACACATGTTCAATTTTAATATTGCCCGATGTGAAAATATTTTTTGTCGGATAATTAGCGGGTCAATTATTGACATAAAAATCTATTAATAGTAAGTGCATTTTTAAATTTTGTTTGTTTGTAAACCTGTATTCAATCTGCTTTTAAAGACTATTTTTTTTGTTAAATCTGAAAATACTGATCTTGTCAATTGCATCAGATTTCTCTTGCTCTGTCCTTGAATGTAACTGCTTACGTAATTTTGGCGTGTTTTTTTTGTTTTTTTTTTGAAGTTGTTTACTTTGACATTTTTACGCATTTGGACACCCTAATTGTATTGATGAAATATGATCAAAGCCTCATTATAATTCTGTGAGAATGGCTTGACCCATTTAACAGACATTCTTTCATAATTATTACCGTGAAAATTTTTCTTGACGTTTGTTTGAAAAGTCGTAAGATGAGATATATATATCCTGATAGAATATTAACTAACATCTTAACTTTATTAGCGGCGTATTTCAAGACAACACAAAATTTTTTGGGGGCAGATTTTTTTTTTTTCATTTTCCCAAAATACGGAGTCGGCGGGTCAGTAAACCGAAATATCAAAAAATAATGGCCTTATTAAAAGTGGCTATATACAATTATATACCAAGTCATAACTATGATAAGTGAACTTAACATTATTCCAAAAAAGGTAACATAAATACAAGATAATATACCTGTTTTTTGTTCAACTCGTCTCCATGCTGCTTTACCTTTCCTCTTTCTGAAAAAAGAAAGATAAAACAAACACTAAATCTTAAAGTTAACCATTAATTGATATGTATTAAATAATTATATATTTTTTAAATCATTCTTTTGGTGTAACAATGTCTTTGAAATTGTGTGAATATGCAAAATACTATGAAAAGTAAAATCATAAGACAAAGTCAATTCATAGGTTTAAAACAGCTGATCATAGTACTACATATTTTATTAGCCTTGGTTCCAGTCTGTCAATATTTTTATGTGTTTTGGTTTGGGTATCAACAAAATACTATCAAAAACATGAACGAGTAGAAAGAATGTGTAAAAGCTATCAATTCCTGAATCCAAGCTAATCATTGACTTGTGTTCAGTGACAAATATTAAAGCTTGACAAATTAAAATAGACTTTACCATCAAGTAGTACCATTATCATTTGATTATGCATTGGTTAAAAAATTTCAATGCAGTAAAGGCAAAGATGCCATAACCTGAGTGCATTACTCTCAAATGCAAACAAACTATTTATAAGATAGAATCATACATGTGACAAATGAAATGGGCCAAATCTGGATTTTCAGCTGGATTTTGAGGCTCAAAACTGGATTTTTTTATCGACTCAAATTTCAATGTGTGTTTGGCACATTTGGTTCAAAGAATCTATATTACCTCAAAATCATTAAATGATTATACTTTTTATGATTTTTTTGTTGATCAATATTAACTTATTTCACCATAAAATAAATAAACAGATAAATAAGTGTAGTCATACAGGCTATTTCTAAAACAGTCACATTTTCACATTTCATTATTTTTTTTGTTGATCAATATTAATTTATTTCACCATAAAATAAATAAATAGATAAATAAGTGTAGTCAAACAGGCTATTTCTAAAATAGTCACATTTTCACATTTCATTATTTTCAGTTTGAAAAATTATATCTGTCTTTTCAGTCATTCAATAATTGGCTACAAGCTATTTGAAAACGTGCAACAACTATTATTCATGAACATAAGACTCTGACAGTTAAATTACGTAACATAGGTAGAAGCCTCAAAATAAATGCAAGAATCGTTCAGTTAATTAAATCCACATTTTGCCTCGATGATTGTGTAATTCCTAAACAAAACAAAAAAATTACCCACTCACTAAAAATAGGTTAATTAGACATCTCAAACAGGATTTGAATGATCCATTTTAAATGATTCTGCTCACCTTTTATCTTTATCAGTGCGGTACTAATCAAAGAAAATCAAAGGTTGAGCCGAATTCATACATGTAAATTTACAGGGTAGTTTTGATGACGTAGCGTGTAATACCTACTGCCAAATTATAAAAGAGGTCAATTGACTGACACACGACACGTGTTAAGTTAAACATGTGAGAATAACTTTGGGTATTGGAACTGTTTATTACGTCACCTTGCTGTCAATTAGCGACTCAACATTTAATCCTCTATAATTTAGGATATTACAGATAACAATCAATGCCCGGAGGCACGGTTTACATATTAGATATAGGTGCTGTGTTTGAATTTTTTTATGTTGATTTTTTTTTAAATATCGGGAATTCAAGCTGTAATATCGGGAATCGGGATCAGTGTCGAAATATCGGGATTTTTTTAAATCCCGCCGGGATGTCACATGTATGTAGAATTTAAGATAGGTTTGCAGACATTTCAATATTGACATTTCAAATAAGTTCATTAAAAAAACACATAATCATTATATATGCAATTTTTATCATTAAATAGTAAGGCACCCTTCAATAGTTTAATTGCAAGGGAACAATTCAAGTTTTAACCTTGTTATCTTCTGTCTATTCTGCAGTGTCTATTCTACTAGGAGGGGGGAGGGGGATTCACCCCTATTTTTTGAGAATTCCCCCCTATTTTTCCAGAGGCAGGGGGAAAATTTTACATAGAGAAAGAAGGGAAAAAACCAACAAATGTAATAAATTCTGATTTTTCGAAAAAAATCCCCACTGTTTTTCAAATCCTAGAATAGACACTGATTCTGTATTTTTAAGATCAAAAATTCCACTCATCCCCTCATATTTACAAGTAGAAATCGATTCAGGATGAGTACAAAATTGTAGACTTCTCTGCAAGAAAATTTGCCAATAGGAAGCTAGAATTGTCATAATCTGTTTGTTTCGTTTTTACAATGGAAAACCTGAAACAAAGCTTGTGTTTTAAGTTATGCATAAACTGCACAGTTTAAGCATTGTTAATTGGATATAGTTGTGTCTGAAATGTACTCGACAATACTCTATTAAGTGAGCAATTCATACATAATCAAAAACACAAGCTAAATAGTGCTGGTTTTGGTTCATTAAATTTGTGTAAACAAACTAAAAAAATTTCAAGCTGTCAATTGCATTGGCGAGGTTCTATTCAGTCAGACTTTTGCATCAGGGAAATGGGTATAGATGGATACCGAAAATAAGCTATTTTCGCGAAAATAAGATTGCGGCTACGAAAATAAGATTTATTTATGAAATAGTGCATTTGTCTGTTGAAATAATTATGTTAGTTATATATTTATGCATTCATTGAATGATTTTACAGCAAATTAAAATTTCAGAACCAAAATAAAAAATTTTAAAAAGTGAAGTTTGAGCCGAAAAATACTATCATACGAAAATAGCTCAAATTGCCGTGTAAAGCGAAAATAAGATCGGGTCTACGAAAATAAGATTTATTTTTGATATAATGTATTAAAAGCGTATTTTTGTTGTTAATAGTTGATTTGTATGAATGAAATATTAAATTTCAGAACCAAAAAAAAAAATTTAAAATAGTGAATTTTCGCATGCCTTCCCACTATACTATTTGGGATATTTACCATATGTACCGAACAAGCGTCTTATATTTCATTACAAAACATTTCATTCTTTATTATTTCATTCATACAAATCATTTGATAACAACAAAAATACGTTTTCAATACAATTTATCAAAAATAAATCTTATTTTCGTAGACCCGATCTTATTTTCGAGCTATTTTCGTATGAAAGTATTTTCGGCTCAAACTTCACTTTTTAAATACTTTTGTTTGGTTCTGAAAATTTATTTGCTGTAAAATCATTCAATGAATGCATAAATATATAAGTTATATAATTATTTCAACAGATAAATGCACTATTTCAAAAATAAATCTTTTTTTCGTAGCCGCGATCTTATTTTCGCGAAAATAAGTTATTTTCGGTATCCATCTATACCGCAGGGAAATTTATTTTGAAAATCATGCCAAAAATGCTGGATGAGTAGCATATATGCAGGACAAGTAGAAATTTGAAGCTACTTTTCTTGCGAGACAAGTGGCTCTGAAAAAATAATTTCGATCCCTGACAGGTCACTTCTGTCTTTTTCTTGGCTAGTTTGAAACAGTTTGTTTACAAAAAAATAAACAATGCAAAATACTCCTTGTTAATTTTACCCCTACATCCACTTTAAACAGCCTTGCTATTGTGTTAACCCTTTAGAAATGTAGTTCAGTGTCCACTTTGTAATCAAGAGGTGTACTTTAGAGTTCAAACCCTAACTGGCAACAATATAAAGAAATACCATTAACCACTATCGCGAAATCCGATGACAAACAATGAAATACTGCAGCCGTTTTATATACAGTAATCAATAGAATTACTTAAGTTAATACATACCAGCGCTTTTTATCAATTTCTGCTTTTTGAACATTACTTCTATGTTCTGTTGGATTCTTTACAAGTAAGGGCCAAAAAATAAAACTGCTTCCCTCCAGACTCTTGTTTTGGAAATCCCGCTTCAAGTGGTTGTACACCACTATATTAAGAAACACAACTTTCGAACCCAATTGATTTCGACCCAAGCAAATTGATTGTCTTTTTATTTCAAACATCTTAGTATTATTTACCAACATACAACAGCTTATTGCTTATTATATATTTATAACTGTATTACATTATTTTGAAGGTAAAATGAGAATCACCAGTATAAGTCAATAATAATAGCCTTTATTGTTATGAACATTAATTTTGAACATTTAGTTATCTAAGTCCTAACATGTATGACTTGTATGACTCCCAAGCCAACTCTGGGATACTTTTGTTTTAGGCCAGAATACCGTAAAGGGTGAAGATATTGACCATACCGAAATAATACAATTCATTTTTCTCAATTAAGAGCTCACATTGTTTGGTTATCATGTGACATTATGCTGAATATTTTCCATGATTTCATTATATATACATTTCAAAAGAGTAACTGTTATAATTATTGATATTGGACAATGTTTCGGATAAAATATTAATGTGCCTTTTAGAAATTATAAAAAGACTGTCCACTCTTCTATAATTTGAACGTTACAAGGGAATTCTGACCAGGTACGTATATATACCTGATTCTGACGGATAGGCCTATGTGTACATAAATTATCTTACCCCATGTTAGTTATTTATCATTCATGCAAAGCAAATTATAACATTGAAACAGATTATAAACTTATTTATGAACTTATTTTGTCTTTTACCTGTTCGCTCACTTTATACCATTGGATAGACATGATGCCACTTTTGAGAATTGGTTAATTTAGTTAAGTGAATTATCGTGAACTCTAAAACATGTCGTTCTTGATTTTTTGTGCAAAGTAAGTTATCCTAAACACGTTACCAACTGCACGGAAATCTCTAGTAAACAATTTACATAATTTAAATGGTTGTGTATTAAATTAAGATATTAGTTAGGCAAATGAACGCAAAATGACCTAGTTTGCCGAACCACTATGCTATTTAATCAGTTTTCATATCCCTTTATCTATACTTGCCCATCGTATATGTTTGTAAACTTTTAAGTTACACTGCAGACAATGACAACAGGAGAGCATCAGTTTAATTAAACTGGACGCGTATTTTTCGTGAGGCAACATATACATTTAAACAGGAATTCAAACTTACATTTTGTGCAGAAGGATAAAATTAAATTATGACGGATGTAAATTTATCTGCAATACTTTACAAAAAGCTTGATCTCCGCTTGGTAAGTTTATCATATATTTATTTTGATGTTATTTTTAGAACACACAAATAATACTAGACAAGTATACATGTCGAGATCTCAGTGTATTGCAGTCAAGTGAATCATTTTAATATACCTTATTCTGCATGTAATATTAGTTATAAATTATACATGGAACGTCTAGATCACACACAATTTAACAAAATTAAATGCAAAATTTTGCTATTTTAGGAAGAGAGGCCGATACCAGAGCCTGCTAAGGGAGGTAAGTACACTTGGCCGGGTTTTGAGTTATAGCGCATATGCATTCTTAAATTGGTAATGTATGTTGAACTGTTCTTGGCCGTTATAGTGAATTCAAGACATTCTAAAAACATTTAAAATCAGCAGTGAAAAATGAATGACTGGATGGACTCAGCTTATTATAAAATATATATATATGCACATGGGCAACACTTACCGAAACTTAGATTCGAGTATACTTGTACAGATTGAATATAAACACCATTTTCTTTAGAGCCGGGTACCAAAATATGACAGTATAATTTAAAATCTTGAATTCGTTGATCAGTATCAACGGTCACGTTGGCTTGAAACTACACGATTAAGCCACGTATAATTAGTTTCTGATATTTTAAATCAGTATGTTAAATATTATGATAATATGTTTAGATACAATGAACCGATTGTCGTGATGATATGATGGATAAAGTACTTAAAAAAATTAGTGACAAAATGCTCACTTTTTTTGGATGTCAAATTGAGTTGAATTTGTGGTATATTCTAAAAGATTATCAATTATTATGGAGATTGCCCAATAATTGATGATGAAATTTGTGTATGATACAATATAGCAACTACCTAAACTATAAAAAGATTGCCCCACTCTTTTTTAATGAATTGAGCGATACATTCCGAACGATATTTATTGAAATTTCCATTGGTCAAATGGATTATTGGTTATTTTATCTTTGTAGAATATAAAATTGAACAAAATTATGGCAAAAAGTAGTTATTTATATTTTTACCTGTTCACTGACTATTTAAACCCGGATGGTCATAATATCATGTATGATTGTAGAGGTACAGTTATGTATGCAGAAAGTTGGAATTTGTGGTTCAGATGTACACTACTGGCAGCACGGTCGTATTGGTGACCGGTTCATTGTGACAGGACCCATGCTTCTAGGGCATGAATGCAGTGCAGTAGTAACCAAAGTAGGAGAAGGGGTATCCCATCTTAAAGTTGGTATGTTCTTTTATATTATATTCCACTACTCATATTATATATGGGGTCGTCCTTGGCCGAGTGGTTATGGTCGTTGACTTCAAACGACTTGCCTCTCACCGCTGTGGGTTCCCGACAGGGACTTTGAATTCTTTCATGTGAGGAAGCTATCCAGCTAGGTTACAGAACGTCGGTGGTTCTACTCAGGTGCCCGTTCGTACCTGTAATAATGTACGGAAGGGCACCTGAGGTCTTCTACCACCAGTGAAGCTGGAAGGTCGCCACATGACCTTTACTGTGTCGGTGTGATGTAAATCCCAAAATGTTTAATAATCTTTTCAAAATTAAAAGGCCTCTTTTTATAGCCTAGGTATTGAGGTCGGTGGTTTTAAGCTCGCACGCAGCGCTTATCTGCGTAGGCCTGAATCACATTAGGGATGTTGACCTCTTTCGTATGTGGCAGCCATACACACGTACGAGCCGATACAATATATACGGAGAAGTGCTCTAAATATATTTCAGAACAAACTCAATAAAAGTAAATAAATTCCAGCTTCGAATTATTTCAAAGACCCTGTTTAATATTTAAATTATACATGTACATAAATCATTAAACCAATATGTTTAGCCTCAATTAAAAGGCTTAAATGTTGTATTAGTCGGAAGGCGAGAAAAATGCCATGCTAGAAAATGAACTGTAACTGAGAAAATATTTTCTAATACTAGTATATGATGGCTTTTGCGCGTCGCGTTGTTGCTGGCGACAACACGAGAAAGCGCCAAACGGCGCGTTATCGCATTGTCGTCTTGTGACTCTTGTCGCTAGCGAAACACGCAAAATGGCGTATTGTTTCGATGTGTGTTGTTGCTCGCGACCACAAGCCATGCAGCAGCATAATAAGAAGCCGCACGATAACAGGCTGTAGTTTGGCGCGTTTCGCAGCGACAAGACGAGACGGAAAGGAGATAGCGAAAATGTGTAACAAATCAGCCACCATAGTATTTATTTCAATGCATTTGTATAAAATTATAGCTCTACAGGATACGCGTCTTCTTGCTATTAATCGTTGTTTAAATACCCTTTTTTAAAGTGAATTGGTCTATAATAGAAGGTCTAAATACCATTAAAGGGAGACACAGGCAAACAATTTTTTCTTCGTTTTGAATTTTCATTCATTATTATGTAAATGTACTCAAAATGAATACACTAGGCAGTCACAGGAGCAAAACTTTTCTTCTTATAAAGAATAAAATGGTGTTTTCCTAACTTGACCCATATAGGTCAGGTTAGAGCGTTAAGTTTTTGCAAAAGTTGTCACTGTGAACTCTGGAACCGTTAAATAACATGTCAAAGAATGACTGAGGTTTTCTATTTTAGACTTGTTTCAGTCATACAATATCCACAATATCTGTTATTGTAACTTCCAGGCTTTGTTCAAGTCACATATGACTTATTTTAAAACTACTCGGTGATTCTGTCGGCGTCTAAATTTTGTTCAACACATAGAGAAATGAGCCGCGTCACGACAAAACCAACATAGTGGGTTTGCGACCAGCATGGATCCAGACCAGCCTGCGCCTCCGCGCAGTCTGATCAGGATCCATGCTGTTCGCTATCAGTTTCTGTACTTGTTATAGGGTTTGTAAGCGAACAGCATGGATCCTGATCAGACTGCGCGGATGCGCAGGCTGGTCTGGATCCATGCTGGTCGCAAACCCACTATGTTGGTTTTGTCGTGACGCGGCTCAAATATTTACATTTCAAACCTAAAATATATAGAATTTATTCAGACATTCATGCTGGGACTTTAAAAAATGTCATTTTAGCATGATTTGAGTACATTAGATCATTTTAGTAAATTTGTTTTTAAATTGCCTGAGTATCATGTTGGTAGAGTTTAGTTTCATGCGTGACAACAAATCACGGAGAAATTATAAATGGATGTTGTTGGTATAGGTGTGAGATACATGATCTGATATGAGATATCTTTATATTGCAGATAATATTTTTTTTCTGGAACAAAATATAAGTATTCATTATATAGATGTCCATCCTTAATCGTTTACAGCATTTTTTTTTTTTCATAAAAAAACTTTTTAAAAGATATTCAGATGATACATTTCTAATGGTTTTTTTATCAATATATGAAATACGTACTAAAATGTACCAACTGTAGAACGATTCTCTTTAATTTCTCTGTGTGGAGTGCTTATTATTTCAGGAGATCGAGTTGCTATAGAGCCACATGGGGTGTGTCGCACATGTGAACAATGCAAAAGTGGGCGGTATAACCTCTGTCCGAATGTGTTCTTCTTAGCCACGCCTCCTGACAGTGGAGCACTAGCAAGATATCACGTGCATGGAGCAGATTTTGTATTCAAGTAAGATTAAAATCACCAATAAGTGTTACTATGCATACATACGATACATTTAATAGGCTAGGAAAGTTACGATTGAAAGATATAGTGAGTTAAACAGAAACGATTGAAGAAATGCCTAATTCGCAGCATAATTATAACCATCAATTTTGTATTTTGGTCATTCACACATTATGTCGGAAAATATGAGGCTTTAAGGGCTAACAACCATCTGAACAGTTGTCTAAAAAGAGA